TCTCCCGCGTCCTTGATGCAATGCATACGTCCTTCGGTTTGATCATGCTCTGAACCATGGTCGAAATGTCTCTCGTTTCGTCTCGATCCGTCTTACCGTTCAAGTTTTACGATACGTCCTTTGGTTTGATCACGCAAATTCTTCATCTGTATTCCGTTTATCTTTTTCGTTTTAGTGGTTTCCGCAGAGATCCAGGACCTCGGGAGAATTAGGGTTTTCCCTAAGTTTCTATATTTGACGGAAAATTGACAGTGCGATTTTCGGTTCCCACAGTCTTTTTCTCTTCTTCCAGTTCTTCCTCCTCTTTCCCCAGACTTGTCGGTTTTTATCTCTGTGTGCTGAGATACCCGAAGGATGTTGATCAACAATGAACATGTTGTGTCAATCGATGCTATCTGACCGGTGTTGATCAATGTAACGGTGTTGATCGATGCTGCTTTTGTTATGCTTTTGACGATTTCAGGTCTACATCTCAACCATCTATGAGAAACACTGAATACATATGATCATCAAATACCCCATTGTAGGAACCTTGATGCGTACCTCTATCTGGTGGCATAGGAAACTCAATTTTGAACACTGCGCAAAGAACCACAATCTTCCCAGGACCATGTATCCTTTTCACTATTTTGTTAAATCCAGCAGCTTCTTCTGCATAGATAGGTCGTCTCAGATGTTCAGAGATAACAAGGTGTGATGCGCCAAACTAGTACTCTCTGTCCTCAGTCGGCTCAAATTATACTGGTTATCCGTGAATTCCGACAAATCCTGGGTGTCGATCGATATCATGAGGTGGGTATCGATCGATGTTCTCTGGTTAATGTCGATCGACCTCATAAGGTTGATGTCGATCGATGTTGAGCTTTGGGTGTCGAGCAATGGTATCGGGTGGCTTCAGATCGATGCTTGTGTCTGGTGAAGACGTCGGATCTCTTCTCAGTATGCTAATCGTCATCAAGCTTCTTCTCTAAGTCTTGATCCATCTCTTCAAACCATTCATCTAGCTCTATACTGAATTTCTTACTTGAATCCAAATCCCCAAGTTTTTCTCTATCCTTTTGCTTCAAGAGATTTCCCATGGTAATTTTTCTGTATACATCTGGGGAATGAAAACAACTTCATTGCTCTCTAGTGTCAAGTCTGCAATTTTCTGAAGACAACTTGATCATTCATGGATGTCAATTGGTGTCGATCAACAACTGTGGTTTGAGTCGATCGACCCGAGGTCTTAGAGTCGATCGATGTTGAGGTTATCGTGTCGATCGGCGTGGAAGGCGGAGCACTGATATTGGCTTCTTCTACTCTGCTCAGCTCTCCAGATGCATGATATTCATCATCCATTCTCAAAGCGTACTCGACCAGGTGTCTTGGAACATATTCTTCACTCTTTATGCGCCAAATATCCATGAGTCTGTCCCATTTATCATTCTTCTTCTTTTTTTTGAGTTGCTTCAACATCATCAAAAAAGTTGTAAAGGAAGTTTTTTCAATGTCATCCTATACTTGGCTGTAGTTGATTGAACCAGCCAAATGCATCCCTAGAGATAGGATAGGGAAATATTTTGCAGAGCTTGTGTTAGTCGGATATTTCATTTTGCTCACTTCTTGACACTAGATCTTCAAGCTCTGCAACGTGTTGCTTCGGATCTTCATGAGGTAAACCCTGAAAAGCGTTCTAAGCTGCCCAATAATACCATTCACGGCTAAGATCGAGGTCATTTATCTCAGCAAAGGCAATGACATCAGGGATCACAGCACCTTGTGCATTAATTAAATCTCCTGAGCTGTTGACAGATCGACCTTCGTCTCTTAGCATCCCATTCTCATCGACCTTCAGTATGAGCACTTCGACTTCCTCTGTCGTCCCGCGTGAGGTGTCGATCAACGTTGGAATGTTGGTGTCGATCGACGTCGTGATGTTTGTATCGATCGATGATGAAGTGTTGGTGTCGATCGATACTCGCTTCTCTTTCCTAGCAATCGCTGCTTGGAGGGTGTCGACTGCCCTCTCAGACTTATAGATCACGAGTTCTAAATTCAGTGGCTCTACTAGCAAGAGCCCTATTCCCTTGTTGGGGGAAAGTCCCTGCCTATTCATACCCCAAACAATTTCAGTCGTGCCAAATTCAACCTGAACAAACTGTCAGTGCCAAATACGACCTGAACTATGTTATAATTCAAAAAAACTACCTGAACTTCTTAAAACGAGTTTAAACCTACATTGACCCTATCAGAAGTTAGTCAGTGGTTATAATGATAAAACGACGTCGTTTTGATTTCATTATTTTTTAAAAAAATATGCACATTCAGGGACTCGAACCCGTGCTTTGTCAATCTTTAAAATGAACACATCAACCACTAGACTAAAGCAACTTTTTAAATAATACTATGAATTTTCTATTATATATGCTAGTATACTTTTTATCTTCTCTAATTAAAACTTTGGTTATTATTTTTGATTCTTATAAATATATTAACATGTTTTTAATTATTATATCTTTAATAACCTTATTTATCTAAAATATAAATAATAAAATATTTATAAGTATACAGAATTAAATATATTTCGTGTTTTGCAACTATTTACAAAATGTCCATATAGAAATTATTTTAAAAATTTAAAAATTGAATGGTAATTTCTTTTATTTTGGCAAAGCATATTCAACTTATATTAATTTTGAGAAACAAAAGAAATTAACATTCAATTTTTAAAATTTTAAAATAATTTATATATTGTCATTTTGTAAATAGTTGCAAAACATGAAATATTTTAATTTTGTATAATTATAAATATTTTATATTAATATTTTAGTATTTATAAGTTTTTGAAAAATGTTAATATATTTATAAGAATCAAAAATAATAATAACCAAAGTTGTAACTAGAGAAGATGAAAAGTATAGTAGTTCAGGTCAATGTAGGTTTATGCACGTTTTAGATAGTTCAGGTAGTTTTTTTTTTGAATTACAACGTAGTTTAGGTCGTATTTGGCACTGATAGTTTGTTCGGGTTGTATTTGGAACGATTGATATTGTTTGGATAGGAATAGGACTCCCCCCCCCTATTTGTTGCTTCTGTTACTCATATGTATGTACCTGAAAGACAAGAAATTGTTTTATGAGTTTTTATAACAAAAGTAAAACCTAGACTAAACCTAACTAGACAAGATCTAATGGCGATCAAAGTTTCCCAGCAATGGCGCCAAATTTGATATCACTCAAATTACCCTAAGGACTGAATTACTCTCTCAAATAAGAGGTTCAACTGAAGTACTTAGAGATCGAATCCACAAGGAGTTTGGGCACACAACAGTTATAAACGGTTTATGATTAAGCTAGACTGATAGTTTATAAAGCAGTAAATATAGCAAGCAATTAATAAAACTGTAAACAAGATTAAGAAGACATTTGCTCAGCTTGGCAGAGAGTTGTTTAATTGAATGATGGGTTCTAGATCTAGGGTTTCTATTCAGGAAATCAAGATTATAGTGATACAGGTTACTAAGCTGATAGATATATCAGAATTCAACTGGGAGTACAAATCTAACAACTTTCGTTGTATAGACAGTCTAATATCTAGATCTTGGATTTCAATTTTCGTTTATTGATCACAAAAAGTGTCGATCGATTATTCAATAGGAATATCGATCAATACACCTTTCACAGTATCTATCGATTAATCTATTGGATTATCGATCGATATCGCTTTTAGCAAGTTGTACGATCGGGTTGAATATGTGTTCACTAGGGTTTCTAAATCAACTTTCATATGCACCTAGCAATCCTAGCTCAATAGAATTTAGTTCTGAGGAAAGACCAAGCGTTAGCAATTGCGCCTAATGATTCTAAGATCAGGGTTCTAGTTCATGACTCTAGAACACAAGAAGTAAGAACAATCATATGATGAATATCACAACTTAGCAGTTCTATATTTGTGGTTAATCCTTCATAACATATCTGAACCCTAAACCTAACAGGTGGATCTATTCAGACATGATAATTATCACAGAAATCATAGATAAAAAGCATAAATAATATAAAACCAAAACCAATGGAATTCCAAAAGGAATCTGAAAGAGTTCCTCCCTTCTCTCCTAACTAAGAGAAAACAATGAATAAAAAAAGCTTAACGGTCAACAATGGCTTACAAAACCCATAAATAGTTTGGTCGTCCAGGGATATTTTGGTAATTTTTGTTTCTTCTCGACTTAAGTCGGTCTTGAAATTATCATAACATGGGCCTATTGTGTCACTTTCGAAGTGTATTGTGTCACTTTCAAAGTGCATTGTGTCTAACAAATAACTATGTATATCACGAGACAACTAAACACATCAGCAAAAATATTGTATTTCATTAGGAATATTATCGTTTAAGGGGATGTAAGTGTGAAGAAGATATGTATTTCAAAAAATTATGCTGATATTTTAACCATTGTCGTTTTGTTAAGAAGTTTGAGGAACCTGTGGATTCCTTGAGATCGCCAGTAGTAAGGAGCAATGCATCGCCTAGCAAAGCATGGCTCTGCATGCGTGTTTTAATGTCATCAAGGTGGAGTTTGTTGAAATTCTCAAATTTACAAATTCATGTTCTCGAGTTCGTCAAAAAGTATATCAATGAGTTTGTGAATTTGATTTCTGTTTTAGGTCAAAATAATTTGTCATCGAGGAACAACACAAAAACGTTACCAAGGCTCCATTGAAACTTTCTGGGCGTCATCGGAGATTTAAAATAGTGTGGAAAAGCTGAGTTATAAGGGGTTTGATCAATTTTTGCAAGCCAAGGTTGTATATGTTTTTGGTTTCACGTTTTAGGCTGCTGCCGCATGGAGCCAAGGTTGTGTGTAAGGACTGACTATAACATGTCTTCATTTGTGTTTTGGCTTCTTGCATTACACTCATCGCTGTGGCTCCGGTCCCATCATCTCAAATCGTGTAAGAACCTTGTTTAGTCCAGTTATGTTTTGAGTTTTATTGTCACAAACCCAAATAGATTCGGCCGGACAGAAAAATGCAGATCCGGTTACCAAATTCCCGGTTTATTAAACAATCGATTTGATTCAAACCCGATTTTCATCAGGACTAGAAAGTAATAAAGAGACAATTTGCAAAAGAAATGGTTTGTCTAAAAGAACAACAAAAGCAAATCTGCAAACACGTTTCCTTTTTCTTTCTTTTCCTCACACACGACGTTTCCTTGGTAACCTGCAACCATTATGAGCTTTCCTAGTCGTGTCCTCGATGTACACTATAGGATTCTGATCGTTCCTGGAATTGGAGTAACCGCTTCTAAACGCCACAATAGCGTTTCTCTTCTTCTTGAAATGTGTAAACCCATTCACCTTAACCACCACAGATTTCAGACCCATAGCCTTAACTCTCCTCCCAATGTTCTCAGCAGTTGCATCAGCTGTGTAACTAGTCATCTTCCGTCCACCTTTCAGATCAGGCACACTACCAGAGGTAGCCTTGCATTTGACGTTCCCTTTGGAGTCCGTAACCGTGACAAAGGTGTTGTTACGCAGCAGCTTGATGTGAATGATGTCAGCGTTGGTCTCGAGGTTTGGGCGATGGAAGTGAGAGAAGAGCCCTGTGGCTCTACGTCCTTCATCCTCTTCGATTACTCCTCTGACAAAATCCAGGTCTTTGGAAATCCCTCCGGTCCGGAAGTTATCCTTGAGAAGGTTAGACTGAGTGAAGCTTTGGTAGGTGGGTGCAGAGAATCCAGAGCTTCCTCCAGTGCTTGGTAAGCCTTCGGATTGAGAAGGTAAGGTGTTTGGTAAGCGTGATCTCAAGGGATTTTTGAAGGTAGGAGGAGCATTAGGAGAGTAAGCACTGTTTCCTGCTTTGTTTAACAAGCCTGATCTCAATTCACTGAAACTACTGAAGGTGGAGGAGCTGTTTCCTCCGGTGTTTAGTAAGCCTGCTCTTATTTCACTGAAACTTTTGGTGGACGAAGCATTAGGATCCGGTAAGCCTGACTTGTTCTCAGAGTCTCCAGGAACTGGTCCTTGCTCTCTGAATCGCCCACCTGTTCAAGCATCCATGAAAAGAACCAATCACTCAATACATATACATTTAAACTCACTTAAGACTATCGCTGTTCCATAGAAACACACTATTCAGATTCCTGATGCGAATCTGACGAATCACTAATATAAATTTGCATTTTTCATGGCGAAAAACTCAGAATATGAAAGTGGAAAACTTTAAAATTGTTCCCGATCCAATCATCATTCTATCTCATTACTCAAAATATGAACAAAGCGAAATCGACAAGAGATAAGGATGGGTGAAAACGAACCAGAGAAGCCATCTGATTGAGAAGAAAATCGACAGATCTTATAGATTCCACCATAGCCGCGGATCAGCGAAGGAAGTGAAGAAGCTCGAAGATGACGAGAAAGACCGTTCATTTTCCTCTCCTCGCAATTTTGCTTTTTTAGGGGGGGGGGGGTTTAGGGTTTTTTCTCAGACATCCAACCAACCAGTTTTGTCTCTCGATCCCCTTAGGGACAGTAGATCTGAAAATGAGCTCATTGCTACTTATTGGGCTTTTAATTAAAAGTAGGCCTTTCCAACCCATTGGTCAATTTCTAAACCGAAGTGATGAAATTTGAATCAAAATAACCGAATTCAAACAAATGACTCGAACAGCCAACTTTTTAACCGATACTGAACCAAATATTTTGGTTTGGTTAATTTCAGTGTTCATCAACCGATGTTGAATCAATACTAACCAAAAACCAAATCCCAACTGAACCGAACCGGTTTACATACAGCTGCAGGTCCTTCACGAACAAAAAACAAAAAATTACAAGTTAGAGCCATCTGAACATAAGAACAATAAAAATACAGATTACTCTCACCTAACTTAACAAAGAATCTTCCACTTCTTGACTTTCCTTCAGGAATTCGGGCAAATCACAACTGACTGAGAATTTAACCCATCTCTTTCGATCCATATGATCCAAACAAGGTTTCATCAAGAAACCAATCATCACCATCACAAAGCTCACTACAGCCACTTTAACAGCCGACAAAACAAAAACTAAACATATCAGCACAATAGGAGGAACACATATCAAAACCGAGCCAACTGTTCCCACAGGTATCTTATACGGTCTCGATGCAGCTGGATACTTCAGCCTCATCCCAACAAAAGCTACGAACTCCAAAACCATTCCACCACAGTAAAACATATTCTCTGCAGCCACAATCTCTTGAAAACCCAATCCAAACAAGAGCAAAACACCTGAAGCTGAACACACAATCCCTAACAAAGGTGTTCCGTAACGAGACCTTTTAGCGAAAACCTCTGGAAGCATACCGAGCTCAGCCATTCCAAGAAGCTGAAACGAGTTGCTACTCATTTCGGCTATGAACATTCCCATGTTTGACGTAGCTGTAGCCACTTGAACCCACAATCTTAACCATCCTCCACCGATGATTTGCGCAACTTCAGCAAATCACCATCAGTCCATAGCTCGCGGTTCAGCGGTATGGACCAGGTTCGAGACAAGAGAGGGAGGAACTTAGAAAGAGCGACAAAGATTACACTATAATAAGCCTTGGGAAGTGTTTGCTTCGGGTTTGCCACTTCACCAACTAGTGTACTAACTGAATCCCAATAGTTTAAGTTCCAGAAAAGAGTGTTTAGATACAAGTTCTAGTTCTCATCTCCTATATCCATAACAAGCCACCTCGAAGGCTGGAGTTTCTGGATCGATATGAGACTCATTACAGCGAAAGGAAGCATCGAAAAGACTCCCATAAGAACTGTGGTCCAACCAACAATGGTTAGTCCTCTGTAGTTTAAGTAAGTAAGCAATAGAGTCAAGATCAAGATGAAGGCAACTCTAGGGAAACTAGTAGATAAAACCGGTAATGCTGACTTCAAATAGTCGAGGAAGAGAACCGGATACAACGCGTTGTCGATGACCCCGCAAAGCCATTTCATCCAGCCTACTTAGAACCCCCAAAAGGGTCCTAAAGCAGAGGAGACCCAAACCACAAAACCCCTGTTTAATCATAACATTGTGCTCATCTCTGCTGTGATTAGTGCCTCTAGAATACACCAAATGAATGGGAAGATTTTAAACCCGAGAAGAGCTAGTAGTGGTCTTGCTGCATTCACAATGCCTTCAGCACCAAAAGGACCTCCAGAGACTTCGTAGAATATGAGAAAAATGAGTGGTAACATGGAAACTTTCTTGATTGAATTGGTTGCTCCTTTAGGCGATGGAACATCATTGCTGTTATAATCTCTCATGGTAATAATCTTTTCCTTCTGAATTTACCTTCAATGAGAGGTGAAGAAGCACAAACCGTGATAGAAACAAGGGTTTATTGTCTCTGGATTTGAAAAGATAGAGTCGTATTTTAAGAAGAAAATAGAACAGTCCCAAGCCCTCATAAATCTCGCATCTTTTAAAAGAATTGTGGTCCTCTGTTTTGAGATTATCCACATGATTAAATAATGAAGAACGAATCCTTGCGAAGAGATGAGGGGACAAGCGACTGAGACGGTGGTGATGGAACCTACGAATTGACTGAGACACGATTACAACTTTGCTTTCAGGCAAGGAAATGGTCAAAGATATACTGATTGAGCTGCTTCTTTTCTGTGTTTTGTCTCTTTCCAATCATTAAGGATTTTAAAACATCTTTTACTAAAGCATTGATAATGGCAACGAAAAAAAAGAGAAGATACAAGCATTGCACATCTTATTAAAACCGTGTGAAAGATTATAACAAGCTGTGAATAAACATAACTTACCATGAAACTCGAGCTTTTTTTTTGCGGCTATGACTATCCAAGCTCTGTACTTAAAAAAAAAAAAAAAGATGAGGTAGAGAGAACTAAGAACACAATCCTAGCGTATCAGAGTTTCTTGGCATTCCCGAGTCTCATGCTGAAGGTCTCGTAAGTCAGAACTGATGGAGAACTTGATCCATCTCTTTCGATCCATGTGGTTTAGACAAGGATGCCTAACAAACCCAATGATCAGCATTACAAAACTCACTGCCGCTACTTTAAGAGACGAGAGTTCTACGACCGCAAAGATCAGTAAGGTTGGAGGAACACACATGAGGATGGAACCTACGGTGCCGATAGGTATCATGTATGGTCTTGACGCATACGGGTGTTTCATTCTCATTCTAACAAACGCTATAAACTCCAAGATCATACCAACGCAGTAGAGTAAATTCTCCGCAGCTACAATCTCTTGAAATCTTAGCCAAGACAAGAGCACAACGCCAGAAGCTGAAAACAGGATCCCTAATAAAGGTGTCCTGTAACGTGACCTCTTGGCAAAGAACTCAGGAAGCATACCGCGCTCAGCCATTCCGAGAATCTGGAAAGAGTCACTACTCATCTCAGCTAAAAACATTCCCATGTCTGACGTAGCTGCAGCAGCTTGAACCCACCATCTCAACCACGCTCCACCTAGAGCTTTAGCCACATCAGAGAAATACCCATCTGTCCATAACTCACGTTCTAGCAGAATCGCCCCGGTTCCAGTCAAAAGAGGGAAGATGTAAGAAAGAGCGACTAAGATGACTCCATAGTACAAAGCCTTTGGAAGCGTCTGGTTCGGATTTTCCACTTCACCAGCTAGAGTACTGATCGAATCCCAATAGTTTAGATTCTAGAAAAGCATGTTTAGATACAAATTCAAGTTTACATTCCCTAAGTCCATCACCAGCCATCTGGAAAGCTCAATCTGCGGAATCGAAATCAAACCCATGACAGCAAAAGGAAGGATGGAGAAAACACCCATAAGCACAGCAGCCCAACCAACTATAGTCAGCCCCCTGTAGTTTAAGTAAGTAAGCAAAATAGTCAACACCAAGCTGGCCACAATTCTCGGCAAACCTCCACCTAAAGCAGGGATTCCTGATTTCAAATAATCAAGAAACAGAACAGGATACAAGGCGTTGTCTATAACACCAGTCAGCCACTTCATCCAACCTTGCTGAAACCCACAGAAGGGTCCCAAAGCAGAGGAGACCCACACGATGTAGCCTCCATTCTCAGGGAACATTGTATCCATCTCAGCAGTGATCAACGCCTCAGTGATACTCCAAATGAAAGGGAATATGACAAAGCCTAGAAGAGCTAGCAATGGTCCAGCTGCATTCAAACTGTCTTCAACACCGTGAGTCCTCGTAGAATATGAGAAAAATGAGTGGTAACATGGAAACTTTCCGGATCTTGTCGGTGGCTTTAGGAGATGGAGCCTCATTATCATCACCAACGGTTGAGTAAGGAACCTCACCGTTGTTGCTGTTGTGGTGGCTCATCTCTATAGAAGCTGATGGATTCACGGTGATGACTCTCCGCTTCTGCATAACGTCATCCAACGATTAGAGAAACTTGATAATCTGCAATAACCCTTGTAGAATTTACTCAAACGTGATACTGAATCTAGGGTTCGTGTTAATTGAGAAACATGACAATTGGGAATCAAAAAGGAATAGTCTTTTTAGTATCTTCAATATTGATTAACGAAACAAAGATGCTATATGTATAGACGATGAACAAAAATGAAAGACTAAAACTTTAAGAGAGGGAAAGGAGCGCAAATCTTGAGAGAATCGAGGGTCTTCTCGAGATCTCTGTCGTCGATTCAGGAGTGTGGAGCCTTAGAGCAATGATGATGAAACAAGAAGGGAACAAAACAAAAGCTCCTTTTTCGAATAAACCCAGATTCAAAATAATTAAATTAAATTTATTTTATATTATTAGAAAATAATTTAAATTAAATTATTTATATTACTGGAAATAATGATTCGTCGTGTCATTGAGTCCGCTTTATTTTTTATTTTTGTCATCTACTATTAAGATATATGTTTTGCATTTGGGGAATAAATGTTTTTCAGTGGAAAATATAAAGAGTTGGTTACTTAATGGGCCAGTTTTTCACTTTCGTTTACACAGGAAGCCACATCCAGCTGGTGGCATACTTTGCTTTGGTGAGAGCCTATTGATTTGGCAGAAATGCCCTTCTAGCGAGGAGTTCGGTACTGTCTTCCGGTTAGGCTATCGGTAGATGGTTAGAATGTTGGCGGTTTAGGAACATTTGTGGGCATTTATTAGGTTGTTTTCTTGATTGTTGTGATTGCTCTTTACCACACGATTTAAAAAAAAGGCTGAGATCCAACGGCTGGTGTTCAAAATAGGAGAATATAGCACATGTAGACAACGACGTTCATTAAATGCAGCTCTCGTAGGTTTAGAATTCTAATATCTCTTTCTTCTTCAAAGATCTGAGGAAGTTGTCTGATTTGCTTTTGTGAAGGTTTGTTGTGTTCAGTTATGATTTGCTTTTGTATTAGTTTACTCTTTGGTTTTGTAATTAATGGTTGCCATTGTTATGTGCAGGTTTAAGAAATGGAGGAGCATTGTATGGTTATCTGCGGGGATTGGGTGAGTGGACCCGGAAATAAGTGGGATTTTGTAGTAGACAAACAGGAGATGGCAAGACTTGTGCTTGTCAACGAAGGAATGACCTTGACCGAACTTGAAGTCTGTGTCTTGCGGGAGTTCAAGCTTGATGTCACGGTTTACAACGCTGCACTTAGCTACTGACCACCTACAAGCTTGGATCTTGCAACTGGGATAACTACTCCTCCTGTTTTGCTGACCAGTGATGGAGAAATTAACTACTTTCACAAGCATTTTAGGGTAAAGGGAGCAATGAACTTGTTTGTTAAGTTTGAAAGGTCTCCAGCTATCGACGGGGAAGACAATATCGATGACTCTGGTCTTGGGTTTGTCACTCCTGGTCCGTACAAGCGTATGTCTAGTGCTCCTCCTCGTTTGAAGCAGAAGGCCCCACACTATGTAAGGTATGGTTTTAATAACAAAGAACCAAGAATGTCCAAGCGTCCTTGTGCGACATAAGAGGCTAGGAATGCTCCTACAGTGAATCTGGATGATGTGGAGTTTGTTGGTGAGGCAGAGAACTTGACGGAGGAATTAGCCGGAGATGACAGAGTTAACGAAGGAGGTGCTGTAAGTGGTAGTCAATGTGAAGAGGGGGTAACGGCTGAGGAGATCGATGAGAGGGACATCCGTACAAGAGGGTATGACAAAGAATTTTGGAGTCCATTACTAAGTGGTGACTATGGTGGGTCAGGCGCTGTGAATGTAATTTATAACGAAGATGAGATTGTGGATGGGATACTGAAGAAGTCTGGTCCGCGTTACTTCTCTATAAGCACCAATGAGCCTTTGCCACATGCTGGTTCGAGCAGAGGGTCTCATGAAAACAGAGAACCCGCGGATAGACAGCCGTGGAAGGACGAAGATGTGGACGGTCCTCTTATTCCCTGTACACGAAAATTAGAAGAAATTCCAGACGAGGAGTTCGACATCCCGCTGTTCGATGATACTAGTATGAAGCATCTGAGATACCAGACATGGATATCAATGAAGACGATGGGCAGATATATGTTGGCAAGGTGTTTGGTAACAAAGAGGACTGTCAAATCTCATTGGCAATTTATGCAATTAAAAAGCAATTCAGGTTCAAGCAAACAACAACAAAAATCGACTCTTTCGTTGTGCAATGCCCCGACCTACGTTGCGATTGGAGGGTGACAGCTCATGAGATAAGGGGGACTGGATATTATGAGATAAGAAAAGCATAGTTAGATCATAGTTGTCCTGTAGATTTCAGAATGGGTTATAAAAGCCGAGCAACTTCTAAGGTCATAGCTGCTGTGTACAAAGCTAAATTTGGGGCCCCTGGGAAAGGTCCAGTTCCAAGAGAATTACAAAAACTATTGCTAGAGGATCTTCGGGTGTCTGCATCCTACATGAAGTGTTATCGTGTGAAGGAGAAGGCTGTTGTGGGTATTTTTGGATCAGATGAAGATTCTTATTTAAAGTTGCCTAAGTATCTCCACATGTTGAAGCTTGCAAATCCGGGGACGGTGGCTGATATAGAAACTGAAACATATGAGGATGGAGATGAACGCTTCCTGTATTTATTTTTATCATTTGGGGCTTCCATAGCGGGTTTTAGAAAGCTTCGACTGGTGCTGGTGATTGATGGTACACACTTAGGGGGGAAGTACAAAGGGGTTTTGTTGACTGCCAGTGGGCAAGATGCAAATTTCCAAATATTCCCCCTAGCATATGCAGTCGTAGATACTGAAGACAAGAATGCTTGGACTTGGTTTCTTCAGAAGGTTGAGCGAATTTTAGGTGACTCACCTAGGCTTGCAATAATATCGGACCGGGCTGCTTGTATTGGTACAGCTGTAAAACGTGTTTATCCTCAAGCTCAGCATGGTTATTGTGTTGTCCATTTAGCTAGAAATGTCAATTCCCGCTACTCAAGAAAAAGTTTGGCGAAAACTGTGGTAGCTTGTGCAACAGCGTACAGACCGGCTACATACAAGGAACAATATGCGAAGATCAGAGCGACAAACAGTGCTTGCGATGTGTATTTAGGGAAAACAGGAGTTGCGCACTGGACAAGGGAAAATTTCCCAGCTGACAGGTACAATATAATGACCAATAATATAGCTGAGCAGCTGAACAAAGCTCTTGTGGAAGGGAGGACATCACCTATAATGGAGTTGGTGATCTTCATACATAGGATGATGACTCGCTGGTTTAGGGCTAGGAGAGCCAAAGCAGGAAAACATAGAGGACTTGTTAGTGTTTCTGTGGACAAGGAGATAACCCAAAACATGTCAACTGTGAAGGGAAGCAAAATTAATTCTTCAACAGATTGGAGCTGTGAGATCATTAACAAGGTTGGGCGTTCGAACCGTGTGCACCTTGATGATAAGCAGTGCAGCTGCAAGTTATTTGACAAAATAAAAATCCCATGCGGACATGCCATTATGGCAGCTGATCATTTAGGAGTGCCTTATGATACATTGGTGGGGCACTGGTACAAGACCACAACGTGGAGAGAAACGTATGCAGGGGTCATATATCCCCACGGTGATGCACGTGATGTGGAAATTCCTGAAGACGTACAAAAGATGGTGTTGTTGCCTCCAACAACCAAGAGACTTGCTGGGAGGCGTCGTAAGAATCAAATTCCTTCGACTGGTGAATTTCCGGTGAGTGGTCTGTCTAGTAATATTGTGGATGACCCAAAGATAATACATGGAATTATAGTCAATTGTTGTTGATGCAGGTGGTGGCTAGGAAGAAGAAATAGATACAAAATAAATGTAGGAGGTGCCGTGATGAGGGGCACAACCGGACGAGGTGCACTGCTCCAATATAGAATTATGGCTGATTTGTTTTCTTGGGGAGGATGAGAGAACCTCTTGCCGGTGGAGTGTTTTTTGGATTTGATTTTTAAAATTTGGAGCATGTTTGTTTTTTCCATTAATCTTGCGGCTAATTTTGTAATTGAAGAACATGTAGACACATAGTGCTATATGTCTACATCGGTAGAGTTTGAAACTCGTATTTGGTTTTTTAATTGCAGAACATGAAGTATTTTGTTAGGTAATTGCAGAACATGTAATTCCAGGTGGATGTTTGGGTGAAATCTTGTGTACGTGTGGTAGTACAACAGTTTGTAACATGTTCAATTTATCTTGGTGTATATATTTTACTGGTAAAATGGGAATACACCTGCTGACTTTGCAATGATAACGAAGTTAGATAAAAAGGAGATGTTCAGCCAAACTGTGTTGGAGATTGATAAGTCTGATAAGTCATCCCAAGTTAAGGCTTATGCTACGCCGATAAGCAAGGAAACTGCTACATTAAAACATGGTCCTAGGGAAGTGCTAAATGTGAAGCTAAAGCTAATAGTTGCTAGAACTTAAGATGAAACAGTATGTAGAGAGAGAACATGGAAACATGAAAGCTCTCCTCTTAAGCTAGTTTAAAATAAAACCATGCCATAGCTCCAAGTACTGCAATGGTAACAACAATGTTTTGCATCACGCCAGTGTGCGAAGGTGTAGTTGGGGTGTTGAGGAGAATTGGTTGTGCGTCTAGTCCTTGTGATACCTTTAGCAGGTTCGAGTGGTTGATGTTTACCGCCTCAATTTTCGCATCAAATTCTTGTGATACCTTTAGCAGAGTGTAGCCTAGTTCTTGTTTCATATCTTCCAGACGAGCTTCCTGTGCAGCTAGCTGCTCCCTGAAACTTTTGGAAATTTGTTGACCATCGTGGAGAAGATCAAGACGCTTGGCATCGACCATGATAGTTTCTTCCAGCAAAGCCTCGTCTTCCCATTTAAACAAATGGTGCTCTGTTTCCATCTGTTTGCAAAGAAAATTAGAAGGCAACATGTTGGCATATGAAAAAAACTAAAGTTATCATGAAACTAATTAGAAGCAGCAGACCTGGGAACCAATGACG